AATATAGTATTGATATTTCACCCCTTCTCCCTTCTCAAATAAATAATCTTTGCTAACTTTGAAAAGCACGTATGTGGCTGTTCCAATTTTACTTTTTTTTGCTGAAAAAAAAATAGAGTAATGGAAATATATTGTCATTCGTTTAAAAAAGTAATCAAATTAAGAAAATAAAAATAATGCCCGGTAATTATAAATTGACAACTGATTTCACTAAAAAAATCATTTGGCATTTTATATAACTTCTACCAGCATTGTAAAATAGCTTTATTTTGGTTTAATGATTCCTGTAAAGCTAGCTGAATAAATGGTTAAAACCTAACATAAAATCAAAAGTAGCGGATGAATAAATGGTTAAAACCTAACATAAAATCAAAAGTAGCAAATGTAAACGCTTTGTATCAGTAATCATAATATCTTAATATGAGCATAACATACCATGCATCTCCCAAATTTCTAAACTGCCCAATAATATTCCATGCACCAATCCCAAGCTCACTGATTTATCTTAACTCTTCTCAAGGACCTTGTTTGGTTTTTACCCCTTGTTGTTAGGCACCGTCGCCACTTAGATGCTGAGCATTTTTTTAAAAACAGCAACCAAGTGTCTATTTAGATATGGCAAAGGAACACAAGGTTTAGCGGAACCCTTTTATCATGACATTTTGGGGGCGCGGTTGGATATTGAAGGATTTATGCATTGTCTAATGTTCATATCGATGATATGAGTGTTTGCCACGTGTGTGCGCATGTCGTGCAATCTGGTAAAGAATGCAGCGGTGGTGATGAATTTGTACACAGACATACCTTTTCTCCTGTATGATAGCTGCATGTCTGTTTAATGAAACGCTGGTTCTGTTCACACTAGGGAAAAATGGTCACTTCTAAAATTAGAACTGTGTTTTCCAACTTGCCTAGTATTTTTGATTAGGCAAAGGATCTCAACCATTTTAAAGTATGGTCAAGTAATTACATTAAAGGGCCACTTCATGGATTTTCCTGCCAAAATCCCATGGAGTCTCCCTTTAATGGATTTAAGCATAAGTTTTTTAAAACAAACAATTCATGATTTTATTATCTTTCTATTGTAGTTCTACATATTTCCAGTTCAAATAGCTGATGCTTATGACCTATAGGTGAGTTACATGCTTTTTAAAAAGATATACATACCACTGGTTAAAATATGTATGTTTATAGATTAGCCTTAATTATCATTAAAAAAATAATAAAAAAACATCAATCATATTTTTTTATCAAGAAAATATAATGTTAATGAGAAGGGATCAATTTTTCTTTTCTCCAGGAAAAAAAATATAGCATGTTGAATTTAAGTCAATATACCAGTATTATTGTAAAACCAAAACCCAGTTCAGATCTGATAAAACTGTCTCTGATGTGAACAGGACCTTAAATTCTGGTTAAAGATGCCACAGACAAATTTTTGTTTCATATCAGGTATGCCATGGCGATTACATCATTTCTCAAGTGGTACAGCCATAGAGGCGTGAGGTGCTGGCGGCTGGTACTGATACTTGTACATACAGGTATGTAGGGCGATTGAAGAGGATATGAAGGCGTGCTCACACATGACGCTTTTCGAGATTGGAGAGACAGGAATGTTGCATTGAATTGCAACCATTGGTTGACCAGTGAAGTCTATTTGTATAGCAGCACTCTGTCTGTCAAGTGGCCAACTCATGTTTTGTGTGAACACTCCTTCTAGAGTTTGTAAACACCTCAGTATACAGGGATCTAGAATGGATTTTTTTGCTCGTAACATTTTGGCCAAGACTTAAGGAATCTTTTTTGGTTTTTTTTTAAGGAGAAAAGTAATTAAGCAGTTAAGGTAGCCAATTCAGTGTAGATAATTCTCAAGATATTTTCCCTTTTTTGCTGAAAAAAGCCATTGCCAAAGACAAGAAAAAAAATGGAAAAAGTCCCTTCATTTGATGTGGAAAAAATGAGATCTGTGCCTTAATTCATTTTTTCAACTCTTGGGATACATAATGTATGTCCACATTCCAAGAAATGATGCAATCAGCTGTCTGTCTGAGAGAGAGAGAGAGAGAGAGAGAGAGAGAGAGAGAGAGGCAGGCACATCGATGGATGTTGAATCTTTAAATTGTACAGATTTTACACACTGTGGCAAACACAGAGCCTCAAATTGTGTAAACTTTTACACTATAAACTCTTCTAATTTTTGTTGTAACAAACATTGCCTCTGATATGTTTGTGTACCCCAGCCAGGGAGCTTGTTGCTCTCAGTGAGTGAAAGTTGTTTTTAAACAAGTAGGTGCAGCTGTTATATACATGTAGAAGACATTTAAGACAGAAGAAGAAGATGATGATGGTTCTGATATCTTTCATTTCTTTGATCAAGCAACCGTGGCTGTTTAGGTCCCTTTTAAAATATACACAGATTCTGTTAAAATTGGCAAAGAACTGTACATCTGATTGAGACACCTTTTCTGATCAAGTCAACCAATCAGTCAAAAGGTCTGCATATCAGTGAATTTGATTGAATTTTGATTCCAGTGACAAGATACTTCCCATAAAATAGAATGATGTTTTGACTGAGCCTGGCTACTAGTGCTTGAGTCCAGGGTATCACTTCACTGGTGTCAGCCTACAACACGACCATTGTGTGTTAATAGCCTTGTTGTGACGATTGTTATCTAATATTTGTGTTTGTATTACCTACCTTAACGCCAATTTGATGAGGTTTATCTTATCAAATTTTGTACATAGCGGCTTTAAATGCATTTCACCCCGGCTCTGCAACAATGGACCTTGGCTGCATTCACACATACAAAAAAGTAAGTTGATAAATCTTTATTGATAATCAATTTTTAAACATTTAAAGTACAAAATAGCAGATTTTAAAAACAACAATATTTTAAAAAGTTATCTAAAGGCCATTTATGTTCAGTTTAATCTTAAATGGATTGAATAATATGAAGTTTGTTATGTTCATCCAAGGTTTGATGCCATCAGTCAGTTATAGATATCAAAAAGTTGCCAGCCTAGCAGTATGCCACCTGAGTGAATGGAGTATAACTGCAGGAACGGGTTGCTGTCAACAGTCCAACTTCCACATTAAACAGCTGATTCCAATGTATGCTTCAGAACCTGTTATTTTTTGCCAGTGTGAACAGGCCACTTCTCAGAAAAGACAAAAGTTGCTCAAAAGCTCAATTTGTGACACAATTTATTTCACTGATACTGTTCATGTGCTTGAAGATGTACAGCGTATGAGGCAACAATGTTTTGAAACAGAGGCTGGTGCAATAGAAAATTGATAGTAACTTGTAGACAGCTACATTTGGTTGTATATTGTTACATATGTGTTATATAATAGTACTAGTACATATATGTAAAAGAGGTAACTAATAGTAGCATCCATTCAGGTGGCAGTTGACCACAAAGTGGAAACTTGTTTGTGGCACTGTTGTGTAATATTGACATCTCTGGTTAGAGGCCCCATCTGGTGGTAAAGGCAGATGTGATACACACTGAGGGATCAACTGTGAAAGAATGAATTGTTCCGAAAGAAAGTGACCATGCTTTTTAGCATTTAAAAAATGGAGAATAAAAACATTTATCATGACTGTGGATGATTAATGAAACTGGTTTAAGTGCAATTGTACATAGTATGTATTTCACAGTGACATGTTCTGAAGTTTTATGTATTTAAATTGTGAATTTGGAGATTTGATGATAAAAATGATAATAATTATATATTTCTAATTATATCCTATATACATGTACAGGCATCTGTCCTAATCAGCTCTTTGTCTTCCAATCCATCAAGACATTTTATTTAAGTTTGGTTAATAAGTCAAATAAATTTTTGAATCTGCTTTTTACAGGCATGTGCTGGTATGGTGTGTGTGCATGTGCATGTATAAACAATTTGTCATCGCTTTGTTTTACATGAATGTGCCTGCATGTGCATGCATGAACATGCACCTGCTTGTTTTTGTGTTGTGAACTTTTAGTATATATATCTAAGTCACATGAAAAAAAAAGTGCATTTCCACCATGTACCTGTATTTTGTATGCAGGGCAGTGTATTTAAATTCCATTTCTCCTGTGTGCTTTTTAAAGATAGTCATCTCTTATGTCCATTACTAGACAATCAGCATCTTAGAACGTTTTCCAAGAACATAATCTGCGAATTCCTGTTTGTACTAGATGCAGAAGACATTGATGAAGACAGAGGGGTTGAAAGGGAATGGCATATAAAGTATTGATTTTTGTACACCATATTTTTATGTTATAACAATGGTGGCTTATATTATAATTACTCTATGCATGATTTCATTGTTTTTTGTTTTTGTTTTTTTTTTTGACAGAGATTATTGGTGATGAATCAATATATTTTATGTAAGTAATTAGTTGGTGGCATTACAAAAATTGTTTCTTCTGAGAGTTAGAGTATGACTGCTTTGCAAAATTAATAGACTAATTCTTCGATGAAATAGTTGGGTGTTTTTTCCCAGAATAATTGCTTAAACTGTCTGATTTTTCAGCAAGTCTGTTTGTTTATTTATTTATTTTTGCAAAATGAATTGTATCTTGACAAAAAATAATCAAACGTTTAAGATTTTTATCATTCTTTGAATACAGTGAAACTCAATAATTTCAAACATATGCAACAATTAATTCACAGAACACCATTTGTCAGCCAAACCTGATGACTATGAATTAAAATGTACTGGAAGTAGGTTTCTTGTCAGAAGTGCATTTTTGGGAGCAGCTGAGAATTTTGAAGAAGTAAGATCTTTGCAGTAATAAATGAGGTTCAGATTATTAGAAATTGCTGTCACAGTCACATATGTCTAGGGGGAGAGAAAAATGTATTTTAATAAGCTCAGAGAGAGGCGTACAGTTATTGTGATTGGTGACTTCAGTTATTTGTGTCCTGTTTTAAAGGCAAAGCCACAAAGATCGGGACCAGAGCTTCCAAACAAAATAAATATTTTTACAAAATGCTAGACTGCGAAATGGAGCCCAACATCAACGGCTCCTTTGGAAAAAAACTGCCATGTTTATTCTCCGAGACATACAGTACGCCGTGTTTTGCAATTACAATTTGTCTCTGAGAATGTCCTGCAGTGTATACCCCTGGTAGTTCCAAAGAACAGATGCTGTTTGGGAATGAAAATAATTTGGAAGCAGGCCTTGTTGGTACCAAGTGGGGGTTTGTTTTGCTTGTTGTACAGGTTTGGAGGGGGAAGGAGACATAAGTCAGATCCGTCATTGGACAGGAGTACAGGTAAAGTATTTAGCCAAGTTTAGACAGTTTGTTTAGAAGTTGAAGAGGGCTGTGAGTGTCTGGAAGAAAGATGTCTGCCATTGTGGAACCGTTGCTGTTGCTGTAGTATTTCACATTGGAAGTCTCGGTCAGAGTTTGGGCTGGGGTAACATCAGTGCAGAAGTAGGGCCCTGGAAAAACTTAGACATTAAACATAGATCAAAAAGAATTTACTTAGAGGTGTGTTTCAGTAGGAACATGATTACTTATAGGTGTGTTTTAATTTTTTTAAATGAAAACACGATTAATTAAATTTGCAGTTTTGAACTGTGACTCCAATGCACCATCGTAAAAGATCTGTACGAGTTAAAATTTTGCATGTAGAACAAAGTGGTTTGGTGAGCTGCAAAAACCCAAGAAGTAAATTTACATTTATTACATATGTACTCGTTTGTTTTCTGTATGAAAATCAGTATGACTGCCTTGTTGAAACTTAAAATGAAATTCGTTATCAGATGTGTAATGAGAAATTTATGATTAAGAAATGAAAAATATTTTACTTTTTTGTAAGATGCATTGCCAAATTCTGTTTGTTGGAAGTGTAATGGCCATAACCAATTTTCTGACCTCCTGAATTTATCATTCGTGTCACTGTTATAAAACCCAGTTTGCCATTTCCCTTTTTTCCTTCAAAATTTTAAGGAGCAAAGGGCTTAGCATCTTCAGATTCAATAAAAAAAAAGACTGATGTCTCCAATAATGCTAATTGAATATCATATTTGTTCTTTCCTTAAAAAATATTACTTGTTGTTGGAAGGAGGAACCTGTGATCAAAGTTTAATTTCCTGCTTCATGGTATATAACAAGTCAGAGTTGTTTAGTACCATTCTCTGAAAGTCACATCAGAGGGATATGAGTATTTTGTCAAAATTACAATCCACTGATTCAGATTGTGTGTGAATTGGAACAAAAACAAAAGATGTGTGTTATTACCAAATTATATTCACTGGAGGTAATGAGAAAGTTATTAAGATGTAGCAGTGTCCTTGTACTATTAGACACGGGAGTTGTTGAATAAAACAAGTAATAAGAATATTGAGTTAATAGACATTACAGGGTTGTCTGCAAACAGTGATGTTATGAAAGAGAGGGAAACTTCAAAGTGCAAAGAGTTGACTCTGTATTAGTGCATGTAGCATTTATCAAGGAATTAAATAGGATTCATGCACTAATAGACTTATTCTAGAAATAATATGTACAAAAATTTAACATGGATATCTCAATAAGATAGCCCTGGGGATGCAAGATGGTGGCCAGGTGATCTCGATAGTCTTCCAAGCTGTCTCTCATGCAATTGGTCTTCATCACTCTTCACTGATCACCTAGTGTTTTGTGAGCACAGGTAACTGTTCAAAACATGCTTGTTTTTTTTTTCATAAGTTCTGTTGAATTGCAGTCCTTTGCACAAAAGTACATATTCAAAGTGTTTTGCATGTCATTTTTGTATTGCTTTGTGAGACGCAGCATGTTTTGCTTGTTACTTTTGTGTGCTTTCTAAGGTGACGTACCCAGCGCATAGAGTTTCACTCTTGTGGCTCTAAGTTAAGCTCCACCTCACGTGGATTATCACTAGTTTTTCTACTTTTATTCCACAGTCAGACAGTCTTATTTAAACTATCTAGGATGATTTCCATCCAAGCTTATCAATATTATTAATTGGAATATGGAAAATTTGAATGCAAATTAGAAGTTTTACTCGATGTGCCTGTTGCTGTCAAGTATATAGGAAAAAATGTTTAAAATGAAGAAAAAATTGAGGTTTTAAAATAAAGAGGTCATGTCTTATGAGTGAATTCAATTCTATATTTTAAAATGATATTTGTTTGGAATGGGCGAGACTTGTGTACTTGGGACGCACATGCTATCATTGGATTCATTAACGAGCTCTCTGTTCACCTCTGGTGTTACTTCCTTTGTTTTAAGGAAGAATCTTCATAGCAAATAAATCATTATCATTGGGGGATACATTTGGAGAACCTTCTGCTTGTAAATCTACATGCACCATAATATCCCGATACACCAAAATGCCATATATGCTTCAGTTTCTATTAAAAACTATACTGTGTATAATGATATTCATTAAATAGTGATGCAAATCACTTAATGTGTGTCCATTACATATATTACACTGCAGGTATTTAATGCGTATGTAAGACATTGAACAATTCACCCTTTCTTCTCATAACATGCAGATTATGTACTTATTAACCGCTGTCATTTATTGATAAAAATACTGCCTTTGACTTGAGTCTGTCTGTGCGTTGTAATGGCGGCATCAAACCTTTAAGACAGCCTGTAGCCCCGAGTTGGTGACCCCCACACTATGAACCTGTGGTTGAAGAACAAGGCACAGCCTGATATGTGAACTAAGAAAAGACCAAAGAGATCAGCCCAGAATAACATGGCAAGTGCACAGAAACTTAACGTTCGCCGTGGCATTTGGTGTGTTCGAGACTGTGCCAACGAGCAAAAGGCCACTGCATTCGCACATGCAGGCAGTGCTCTGGGCGGAGTGTGCTGAGTGAGGAAATATGAGCGTTTTGTAAAGGCGAATCCAGCTGCGGAGCTGACATGCTTGGTGTGATTACGCAGCAAGCAAAGGAGTTTTTCGTGGCAAAAACCCCGTCTGTGCCTGTTGGGTTTATATTGTAGTATATTCTCTCCTGTGGCGGGCGCTATAAATGACAAATTTTACAAATGCATTTTTTTTGTCTGAAGTCAGTTGGAATGATTAGGCCAAGGTCATTCAGGAAAAATAGGTCAAAGTTCATAACAAAAATTTTAGAAATGGTTGTAATCGTGGTTCTGTTGCTGGAAACAAATCCAGTTATTGTGTTTAATGACCTAAAGTCAGGCTCAGAAATTAAAATGTTTTGTAGGACAATGTAACAAGTTTTCATAAGTATTAAGAAAGTAGCATAAAGATATTTTATTTCTGTTTCACACATTTTGCTGAGAAACTTTTTAGGGGGGAGGGGGGGGGGAGCGGTAATTCAGTTGGCACTGTGACTTACATTTCTGGCACTAGATGTCTCTCACGTGCTGCCATGCCAAGAGACACCCAGTCCAGTGGAAGTGGTGAGCAACATGACTTCATGTGATCGTAGAAAATAGTTTGGATGAATTCATAGCTCAATACAGTTCACAGCTTTGAACAATTAAGCAACCTTGTTTCTTAGTTCTTTTTCTCTAAAAGATATGATTTTTAATATCAAAAGAAAAGTTAAATTGCAAGTTCAGCCAATATCAGTGGTTGCTTTATTGAATCATATTAACATACCATTTGAAATAGTTATGATTTAATGAGTGATAGGATATTGATTAAAAAAATTAGCACATAGACAAATAGATAAATAGATAGATAGGTAGGCATACATACAAACATACACGTAGACAGACAGATAAACAGACCGACAGACAGTCTAGATAGTTGATCAGTGAGTTTGTAGTCTTAAGTTGATGGATGGAAGGTTGGAAAGATTAATGAATGCAAGCTTTTGAGATATGTTGAATTTCTTATGTATATGGATTTTATATTTTCATTTTCTTCATGCATTTAGGTGGTGAACGAATGCTCAGAGTTCTTTCAGTAATTGTTTTTCATGTTGCAGACTGATAGCAAGCACAGGGTCAGCTCATGGTCATCATGACAACAGTGGTGGTCATCTTGGGTCATCTTGACCACCAATGGAATGTCCAGTTGAAGGGTTTTTGTATGACAGTTTCCTTGACTTCATGGAAGATGGCCAGTAGTGACTATGATTTAAGCCATCAGTTCATGAAAGGTGAGAGGTCAACCCTAACCCTGCTGCTGAAAGTTAAGTAGTAAGGTGTCCACCTCAGATGTTTTTTTTTATTATTTTTTTATAAAAGATGCTGAAAATTGATTATTTTATGTCATGTTAAAAATGTAACGTCTTTATCATAATTGTGTAACCATTGCTGAAGGATAAAATCAATATTTAGCATAATGTAGGCACTAATGAGTGAAAACAAACTTTTATAAAGTAAATTCATTGGTTGCAAAACTTCCTATAGAAGTTCCAACTCTTAGAAATAAAAATTGTTAAAAATACACAAAGTATTTTGAATTCAGTTAGAAAATCTGCTTGTCTGTCTCATGTTTTATCCTCCTAAATCACATCACCAGTTCAGCATGCAGCGCAACATGCAGTAATTTTATCTCAATTTCTTCCTACAACTAAGTCTTCACTCTGTGCGGATAAACCACAGTCATGTTCTCTCTGTTCAGGTGTTTCAGTTAAGGACTTTGTTTTATGCCAGTCCCGCGACCCAGCAAGCTGTTCTGTAGCCTCACCTCTGACCTTGCCTAAGTTTTACACCGAATGACCCCGAGGAAGTCAACTCGGTACAGTGCGTGGAAGGTAAACACTATGATGAGTCCCGCGGCAGGAGTTGTCAAAGTGTCAGACGTGAAGCTTCTATTGCTATTTTAAAGTCAGATATTGAACATGGGTGTTTTGTAGCAAGTTTATGAGCAGACTTTTAACTTCCAACTCGTGATGTTTTTTGGCTGAATTTGATGATATAGTTTTATGTTTATAGCTTTACCTAGAGCAAGTGCATTTCTCTGAACCATCTTTTGATGATTTAATATCTTGCTTAGAGGCTGCATTTCAACAATTGCGGAAATGGTTTTTAGTCTGGCTGAAGACCAATTAATTATTGTGCCAATTTGTCAAAGATTTTACAAAAAAAGTTTCATTTGAATATAATTTCTTGGATATTTGACTTCAAAAAATATTATGCTGCAGTATGACCAATATAACATATGCTACATATGACGTCTGCTGAAGTTACAGAAAATATAACAAGTCAAGGAACTATCATAGCAATCAATTAATTAAGTCACTATCATTTTTGAATGCAACATGTAGATTTGCAAATGCTCTTAGTTTATGATGCTATTATTTATACCACTCCATCATTTTAAAACACTATATTGCTGTGGATTCCATCTGTTACATGTACATGCATGTAGTTAAACCCTTTATTTGATAATGAAGTTACATTGTTTTCAATAAATGGTAAGTATAATTTTAGAGAATTAGGTTATTACTTATCCATAGCAAATAAGCAATAAGAACTTAGTAGATACTTAAATTGAGGATAAATGATGTTATATTGTGCATCTTTTCTTAGACTTGAAGCCATAGTCTGCATGGTTCAACAAAACAGTTTTAGCCCAAAATTTAGTATAAACTTTTGGACCAAAAATCAAGTCTGCTATCATTCAAGAAAAATAGAATTTCTGCCTAATGTAATGCAATCAAACTTCCCTTTTACAGACAGTAAATGTATTTCAGTCCTCAATCAAGAACATGTTAAGCCCTCCTGCCCTCTCCCCAGTATACAGTCTAAACCAAATATGAGATGCTTTTGTTATAGTGAATTATCTGACACCTGCTGTTGGTAGACACATCTTTATTATTTTGAAAAGTAAGTTTGGACACTTTTAGGCTTAGCATTCACTGTATACAAAGGTAATTCAGAAGTTTTTTTTATTATTATTAGCTTACTTCTTCCAAAATTATCTCTGAAAGATTGATCATCTTTGTCCATTGAAATTGATTTAGTCATAACTGTAACTTTGGTTCAGCATTGTTTAGCATTACTAACAAAACATTTTGGAGGGAATTCTTTAAACAGTGTCCTTTTTTTTATTTATTGAGTACTTTCTGTTACAGTAGTACATGTAGTTGCAGTGTTTATACAGTGTTTATACAATTACCTGGTAGAAAATCATTAATTCAGCTCTTTGTCCTCACTCCTTCACCTTCCACCTCAGAACAGATCACCTCTAGTTACTGTACATTCTCAATTCCATGCTTTCCAAGATTTATGTTTTTTTGTCAGGCACATTTTATTAAAAAAACTTTAAGTCACAATGTCTTTTTGTGTCATTACTATCAAAACATTGTCTTATTGTTGAAATACATACTAGTAGATGAAATCTGTTTGAATGTAATGATCTGTAGTAGTAGGTATGCCCAGGGAACTGTGAACCCTGTGTAAAGTCCCCATGGATTCATTCATTCAGTCACATAGCCTGCCATTGCAGGTTTTTATGATCTGTTCGCTTGGAATATTAAGATTAATGACTGTCCAACATGCATCCGACACTGCTTGAAGATGTGGCTTGCATTCATTGTATACATGTTTATACTGTATATGTATATACATATCTGATTATATATCTGTCACATTTGTGAATACTATAACTGTCACACTGTGTTTTTGTTTTACTTTAGATTTACTAGGAGGTTTTGTTTGGTTGAAAATGCAGGTTGTGTTTAAAATCAGCATGGTGGGATTATTTTTTCAAAAATTATTGATATTTTTTTGCTTTTTTGCAACATTGACATTTAAACTGCCGAATTGTAATGTTTGTTTTACTTTTAATTGAGTAGGTTTTGTTAGGCAAAAAAAGGTAGGTTAAAGGAAAAAATCAGCTTGATCAGTTAATTTTTACAAAAGTTATTTACACATTATGTGATGTTTTGCAATACTGGTGTCTGCAGGTGTTGAATGTGATGCCATGACTGAAAGTTGATTGATGGAAAAAAAAAGAAAGAAAAATGAAAAAAAAAAAAAAACTAATGAAAAGTACATTAGTAAACTTAATTACTGCAATCATGAAGAGGTTGAGTATTTGAGGTTCAATTAAGGTAACTGAATTTAAGACCATTGAGGTGTATCTGTTCATATACATGTGCTGATATATTCCAGCAGATTAGTTTTGGAGGAGAAAGGGAAAGCCAAAAAAAAAAAAAGATGTATAATGTGTAATTACTTGTCAATCACCAGTACGGTGACCTGAAAACTATAAAATGCTCAGGTGTGAATTTGCTTAAGTTTGTATGACCCAATATATTTCTTATCCTGATGCACATTTGAAGCAATTCAGTAACAGTGACTGTAAGTGGGCTTGATACCTTATAAATGGCAAAGAAGCTTTTTCCATTTCTTTGAATATAGAATGTATGCTTATCTCAGTATTAGTGCAAAAAAAACCCTCTCTTTTTTGTTGTTGCACTTCTGTACAAAGGGCGGCCAAATGTTTATCATCAGTTTAACTGCTTTGTTAATTGGTGTGAGATACTGATTGCTTTTTGCTGGAACTCTGTAACTAAGTAAGACATTGTCGTGCAAATATGGCATGGCTGATTACAATTTGATGTTATCGTATGCCATATTGGTTTTACATTTTTTGTTTAGGAGATTTGAACCCATAATTATGATGTTCCATTAAACAGAATTGTTATTATGTCTATTTACTGATAAAGTCAGAAGTAAGCCTTTCAAGAAAGTTTCTGGCACTGTCTTGTGGTTGTTATTTTTAAACAGGCATTAAAATGATATGGGTAGATCTGTTTTGAATCAATATTACAGTATCCCCCCCCCTCCACCGGGGAAAAAAAAAAAAAAAACTACTGTTATGTCATCAGCTGGAACAAGCAATTTCACTCTGATGTATTTTGACATGAAAGCACTATCTCATAACATGGCAATGTTTTTATCCCACTTATCTAAGTGGAAAAGCAAAAATAATAATAATAATAACAATAATATAAATGTATGTTGAACCCCCTTACAGGCCTGTATCAGCCCCATAAGATTGGAGACCTGGGGTTGATTTCACAAACATCTACCTTTAGCCTGAAAACTAGTATAAAAATTTAGACCAAACTTTTTTATACTTTGATCCAAGATAAACCAGATACAGTAGTCTCATCAAAAGTAATGTGTCTATTTTATAACAAGAAAGATATGGCTACTATATCTGACCAGCGTTTACTTACTTTATTTATTAAGTGAGCTACAATATATTTTGTCTTGATCTGAAGTAGACAAGATTTTTAGTTTAAGAGTTTAGAGCAATGTTTGGGCTGAAGATGTGAAGTGACCCCAGCTCCAGGACAGGCCCATGGCAAATGTGACATATGCGAGGTAGCCAGAGATATATATGTATATGTCTGGTGGAGAATTTGGACATGGGCAAAAACAATTCCATTGGGAAACTATAAACTTGTATATTGTCTTTGAAAGCTTTTGGAACCAGAACATCCTCAATTTGTATTGTATAAACTAAATATAAAACATGCACCAGTATTTTATCTAACTGGGACAGGAAAGCTTCAAAGTAGAAACATATTTATGCAATATACTATGTAAGTGTTCGTGTGCAATATAAGCAGTTCTTACTTGAGAGAGGTGTATAACTGAAGAGTATTAGCCAAGGTGAAATATATGATGATTGACATTCATGTAAATTGTTTCAGTGTAATATCATTTCAAGAATCATCTGTATTTGTAGATAGCTAAATCCAATCAAGGTAGAAGTGGAAAGTTATTATAATTTGATATGTGGTTGAACCAATTGTTTGTCTGTTTCAACCACAGAAAGCCATGTGAGTCATATGTTATTATTTTATGGATGATGTTATAATTTCAAGTAGCAAAGTGGTCTTTAAGTCAATTAATTCAAATAAATTATGTGTTATTATTATTATATGATGCATACATTTTATTTGAAACAGTCATCAGCATATAAAATAAATACTGTAACCCACAGTCCAATCAATGCAAGCTCAAATAGCTCATTAAGCATAATTAACCAAATTATGAGCATGTACAGTGAAATTAAGATCTTGGTAATTTGCCTGTTTTGTGAAATATGAGTTACCCTTCAAAGAAAAGAATCTCCGCCTCCCAAAAGCTTCCGTGTATCCCCTTGTTAGAGCCTAGCGTGGTATTTGGCGAGGTTGCATGACAGAGTTTGACACACGTGCCCTCCGTGTCAAGTCAATGGGTACGATCCGAGGTTCAGACCGTACATGTGTTTCAGGCAATCAAAAAGTAGCATGCAAGGTTTTGAAAGTTCTTAACTACCTATGCAGCTACCTACTGGTGTTTTTTTTTAAGCAGGGATGAGAATTATGTGATTTATTTATTGACTGTCAATTTATTTATTTTTGTGCTATTCATAAAGTCTTCTCATTTTATATGATTAGATTTTTACCTGCTGTTTCAAACTTATTCTCTTTTGTAGTCTAATGACTTGCCAACTATATAAGTTTTTATCTGACAGGTACATGAAAGAAAAACTGCATGCTTCAACTTTTTGCCAGTAGACTAGATTTTTTTTTTTACCTGTATGAATATTTCTTTTCTATCTCTGTGAAGATATTTTTACTACTTCGGTGACATCTATTCAGGAAGATGAGATAAAAAGGTATTAAAAAAATAAATAAATAAATAAATCAAGACTTTTTCAGGTCTTAAATTCAGAAGTTAACTGCTCAAAATGATATATTCTATAACAAATAAACATGGAGTTGGCACTTTTATTATTACTGCCTTT